TTTTCATATATTTAATTTGATTTAAATGAATTATTATAAATAAAAATTCAAATAAATAAATAAAAAATGAAGAAATACTTCCCTTTGGGCCAAGTGGTCGTGCACATGCTTGGGATGATGAATTGTGGAAGAAAAATGGGCCCATTAGCAATTTTAGGTCATTTGAACCAATGTTGACTTTTCAAAATATCCAAACATTTCCCAACTTCCACAAGGCATAACTTGCTCAATTTTTAAGCTTTGCTCATGTTCTTGGACATTTTGGAAAGGTCTTTGAGTCCTCTAACCAATGCCTTTGGTCCCATGTCATTTTGATTTACCAATATCAAGTTATGGCCTTTGACTTAAAGTCCCTTTTTGTTGACTTTTGAAAATGACCTATAATGTTGAAATTGATAACTTTTTGTGAGAGCATTTCTTGGACTTGAGGTATGAAGATGAGTTGTAGGAAATGTCTTTCTCTTCAAAATGAGCTTTGGATGGAATTTTTCTGATAATCCATGTGAAAGTTATGCCCTGGTCAATTGGCAGTTGACTTTTTCAACTGTCCAAATAAGGAAACTTTTGCATTTTGATGATTTTTGAGCCAAGCTTTGAGAATCATGATCAAGCATTGATCAAATGATGTTTGTGGCTTCAAAATGAGATGTTGACCAAAAATTTGAACTTTTGACTGCCAAATGACCATTTTGCCCCTACAGTTGACTGTAGTGCAATTAGGGTTTTTGACTGTGCAATTTTGTGCTGAAAGCCTTGAAACTTTGTATGAGGATGATTGACCCTATTTGTAGGCATATGAGACTTGATTGGACCTTTGGAAACTTCATTTTCTTGATCAGAACACAAACCCTAATTTTGACTGCTTAGGAGGCTCTTGCACTGTGCAACCCTTGGGGAATTTTGAAGCTGGACTTGGCAATTTCTTGAAGAATATGGGAGGGCAAATTTTGGGGTACAACACAATCAATAAGCATATTCGTACTTCTCACATCGGAATTCATAGTTCCAAACATCTTTATTAAAATACTTCATAAAAACTTCATCATACTTCATAGTTCATAATCAAAATTCAAAAAAACTTAAGTACCATAAAAGGTAACTCATAAATCTCAAATTAAACTAAAGAACATAAGGTTCACATCAAACGTTTCCCAAAACCCCTGATGTTACATATCATAGCAAGACCTTTTATTCAACAGAAATAACTAACGCACTCTAAAGCTATCCTTTAAGCTTCAATGAACTATTCCTGATCACCTGCAAGTTACCCACATATAAAGGTAACATTTCCAAGCATAAAGGGTGAGTAATTCATAATCATTATAAAAGACATAAGGAGTAAATATAGTAGTTACACAACAGTTATTCAAGATTCAAATACCATCATACTTCTCATCAATACTCACACATTAACATCATTAAATCATTCATATCAACATCATGTAATCAAATCCCAATTCCCATTGAAACATCATTTATTCACATATCATTAAAACATCACTTATTCAATCATTATGCAAAGTTACAAGGTATGCAATGCAATATCATTAACTCATGCACGTGGTACCAAAACTTCATTGATGACTCAGTCATCATTTCTCTAAAGATCCCCATCAATAGGATTGATTCCCTCTTGGAACCATAACACTTTACAATATTGCACTCAATCCACACTATGAGATTGAGGCCATCACTGAACCAAATTCCTATCAACATCAATGGACTAATCATCCTATCAACAATCATTGTACCAATGTCCTAACATATACCATGAATGCATGATGCATAACAACAAAATAAATGTGACCACGGCTAGTCAAAACTCATCATCATTCATGTAATAATCACAATATAACCATATACGTCATGATATATACATCATAATCACAACAACATAACTTCATCATAGAAAACATACATCTAATTACCTCAAAATAGAATCACATAAATTCCTCATAGGAGGCACATATCATATTACATCAACACATAGTTACATCATCTCATCATGGCTCGATCACTAAAATAATACATCTTGTGATTCATTTCATTCTACAGGGTATAGATCATTATGTTAGCATCCTAACACTTCGAAATACACGTCAAACAAAGTCTAGAAACTCAAGTTATGGTCTTTCAAAGTTTATGTCAGACACCTCTCGCCTGAGGCTCGCCCGACGAAGCAGCTGGCTCGACTAAGACTCGCTTGACGAGGATGGGGCGAACCATGTTCCCCATACAAATTCCACGAGCTCGTGTTTTTCCTCATTTCATTTTCCTGGCGAATGCTTGCTTTGCTCGGCTAGCTCGCGCCCGCCTTTGCTTCGCTCAGCGAAGCAGGAGCGAATCACCCCCCTCATACAAATTCCAGAATCATGCAAAATCTCAACTTTGTCTCGCATCTCTCTCGCCTCTCTCTCTCTCCTGGCGAAGTTTGGGTGAAAACTGTTTCGCCTAGCGACTGGGTGGTTCGCCCGACGAGTCTGCGTGAACAGGGTTTTCCTATTGTGATTTCCTGCACAAAACCAGTCCTAATTCTTGCGATTCCAACACATAACAGATTCCAATTCATCATAAATACTCATGTTTTCATCATACAATAACAACACATCCTATTATACATCATATGCATCAATTCATGGCAAAACAACATCACATATGCATCACTTTTCAACAAAATCATCATGTTATCATCATCAATCAAAATCTAAAAAAAAAACTACAATTATCTAAACCTTATATCTATTATAATAATAACGATAACTCCCCTTACCTTAGGTTCATAGCAGTAATTCTTGGTTCTCTTCCTCGCGTTCTATCGAGCTCTGCCTCTTTCCTCTTTGTGCCCTAACTTCTCTTCACTACTTCTTCCAAATTCTCACGATTGCACAAATATGAGACACTGACACTCTTTTTCCTAGTTTAACCCTTGAACCTTTTCTATGGTCTTCCCACCTTAGCCTCACTTATCCATTTAAAAATTACCACTTTGTCTTCAACATCTCTACATCATATTATTATCTCTATTTTTCTCCAATTAAAAATAATTCTAAATAATTACTCTAATTATCTAAAATTATTAAAACAATCAATGTCACTTAATTCCAACTATACCATACATAGCATCATAACTCACATCAAAACATCACATAAACTCATAAATACATCACAATTACTTATTTTAATATAATTAAATAATTAAATAAACAATCTAATTATTTCAGGGTGTTACACATTACAATCATGGATCTAGATGTTAATCACCATTAGGACGTAAACCTCATATCTCTATCTGATACGATAGTCGAAGGTATCCCATGCAATCTTACAATCTCCTCAATATACATCTCAGTTAACTTCTTAATATACATCTATGGCAGCCTATAATTATTGATTGTTGCTGCTCGCTTTGGTCCTGTAAGGATGAAGAGCTAGTTGGTTCTCAATTTTGTTTGGCCCGGACAAATTTTACTAGAGCCCCATAGTGGGAGCCAAATGTTCACACAAAGAATGCTAATTATATAACTCTTCTGAAGTTGGTTAGATAGAGTGACAAGAGAGTCACATTGGGTGACTTTTCTATTAAGAGATTTCAATTTTTATTTTTAGTTTGAAGTGTCCCCCTTTTATAATAATTATATCACCCTGATATGAGACAACGGGGGCAGAGACAATTGAATGGTATTCAATGGTCATAATGGCATAATATTTGATCAATGTGGAATTTGAGGGATGTGTTTGGACATGCTGAAGTCACTGTGATAAATACCCATAAAGTGTGGTTGGGACATCTTGACCATGAGTGGTTTGTAGTTTTATATGACGTATCATGATGTATCTCAACCTTGGGTAGCTTATATGGCGTTTCCCGAGTTTTCTCGTTCTAGAGACTGTTTATAGAACACATATATACTTGTTGAGGGTCCGAACCTGTTTCACGCTTATATCTGATCCATTGTTCTTACACCTTTCTACCAATTTATGGGATGCACGCATATGTTACACATTTCCCTGAATCATGCTCTAGTATCCACTAGTATCCAGCTTCACTGCCTAAAAACTAATATAAATTAAATAAAAAAAATTAAATATGTTTTTAGTCTTTACAATTTTTTTTTTATAATTATTGTCAAAAAAATTCAATCCTTACAAATATATCACCTTTTACTTCTTGAAATATTGTTTTAATCCCAAAATAATTAGTTTATATAAAAATTAATTTAGATAACAAATAAAGATCAAATTTAAATATTATAAACAAATTGTAGAGAGACTAAAACCAAAAAAGAAAAGGCAGCCTAAAAGTTGCTATGACCCTATTATTGTTTAAAAAAACAAATAACACTTGTTTGATTCAATTATGTTTTAAATCCTTGTAAGAAGAAAAACAGGAATGCAAATAGCAATATTATAATATTGTCTTGTAAGGTAAAGAATAGCCCAACTGTAAAGCCCAAATATGAAGAGAAACGTGCCGTGACGTGAATGAGGGTTCAAATAAAAAGAAACGAAGATCTCTCTCTCTTTCTCTCGCCCCTCTCTTATGGTTCTGAAATGCAGGTACGTTTCCCTTCTTGATCATTGTCGATCCTATCGTAAAATGAATGCAGTTTTAGGTTTCATGTGAAATAGCTGATTAACCTGCATGAATATTCCCAATTTAACCTTATCTGTTGTTATGCATCGAAATTAACCATATGTGGTGGATGGGGTTATGAAATTGTTTGGGGGTTGATTAGTTTTATTTCTGTTTTGGTCAATTTCATCTTGGGAGTTTAACTCTCTTTCTATGCTTTTCTTTTCCGAACAATTTACATCTAAGAATTCCTCGTAAAGTTTTTAGCCTTCTGTTTAGGTCAAAGTGGTAAGATTAGTTGACATTGACATATGCTTTAGAAAAGATGTTGTGCATGTATTGTTTGATGTAGCATCTCACAATATGATTCATTTTATTTCCTGAACAATGTCAGTGATGAACAATACTCTGTCTCTGAGTCGGGAAGATGCATGGATTCTCCACTGTTGACGGCTTTGTGGAGATAAGCGAGTGCTTGGCAGAGATGATTAAATACGTAGCAAATGAACCATCTGCTGGTCTTTTCTTCATCCAACAGCATACTCAGAATGCAGTTCCCAATGTCATTAAGCTTAAGAAGAAGGTTATTGACAAGTCTCATGAAACGCGTTTGCACACAGAAGATTTGGAGGATTCTGTCACAACGGTGAAATCAATGAAGGAGTGTGGATTCCCAATAATTGATGACATGATTGGAGACATTAAAAAAACTCTGGCCACTATGACATCAAAGCAACCAAAACGAGTGCTACCGAGTCTGCCAGCATCAAATTTTCAGACAGAAAGAACTAGTTTTTGGGGTAATTCTACAGTTGATCCCCAAGAGGGTAGTGAAAAAAGGGGCAACTATTTTTCTAGTGTTTTTAAGTTTTCAAAGCAGAAGGAAAGCAGTCTCAAGTGGCCACAACTTGATTCTACAGGATCAATAAGTCCCAAGACTGAGAAGGCAGAGCTGTACCCTAATGTGCCTTTGTCTGTCACATATGCAAGCAGTTGTACATCTACAGACAAGTTGCCACTGCCAAGACAGGTTGAAGATGAAACTCTGCCGGAACAGAGTGATATTGGGATTAATTTATTGTCAGTAACAGAAAAATATGATGACTTCAAAGCTAGTAAACAAGCCAAGCTGGAGGAGTGGCTGGAAGGAACTAATAATCATGATTGTGGGTAAAGTGATGAAAATAGGCCTTAGCGGGGGCTATTATTTGCTTGGATAACAGAAAATTCAGCATGTATATAATGCTTTATAGTGTCTTAAGGTCCGTTGGGGTGTTGGTTTTTGGAGGGTTTTGGTGGGGAAAGCTTTAGAGGATTGCGTCTATATCTTGAAATGTGTTTGATATCTTTAAAAAGTTTAAAAAATAATATGATTTTATATGCTAATGTAATATATTGTTTTTTACACTTTTTAAAAATATCACACACATTTTAAGACATAGACGTAACTCTTCAAAGTCTTCTCCACCAAAACCCTTCAAAATCTAACTCTCAACCCATAAGTGTCTATTAGTAACATTTATAGAAAAAATATTAGTTATGTTGTTAAAAGTACTAAAAACAACTATGATATCATGTGGGATTAATGCACAGGATCTAGCATTTCTTAATGTTTAAAAAAATGAGACATTGATTATTAATTATTAAGGCCAAATGAATCACATTGTCTTTTATTTTGTGTTAATAATGATTTGATTTTTTTTATTTTAACTTTAGACAAATCTTTTAGTCGCCTAACATTTGCAATATTGGATAAAAACATAAACACAAACACAAATAAGAGCGAAACAACAAAACGTATATATAAAGAATTTAGGATGTGCGTTACATTTTTGAAAATTTGAAACTGTTCTTTAAGTATTTTTGGAGATGCATCTCCGGATGTATTTTTAGCTATTTAAATGTCGGTTTGAATATACATCTTCGAAAATTGAGAATATTTTTTACTTTTCGCTAGAGATTTTAGAGAACTTATAGTGGTGGAGGAAAAATAAATTCTCATTATAAAATATCTCATTGATGTATAAAGAAAAAAAGCTCAACATACACGAGGTAATGTATGACCTAATTATTAAGGAAATTTCTTAGTACGCCTTTATATGGGTGAAAAAAATCTCTGAAAACCCCAAAATACTCTTTAGATATGCATATTTGAACGAATTCCTAAATTAATTTTCAAGGTTTCGGATATGCATATCCGAAAATCCCTTGTTTACACGCTATAACTATTTAAACATTGGATTTAAACATTGAGTGGTATTTTCGAATATGCATATCCGAAAATACCTTTGTTACATAACTTTGCTTCATGATCACCACTACCACTAGTTCATTCATCTCATTTCCTCCCATAACCAAAACCTACCTCAAAATCTCAATCATTCTCAATCATTTTTTCGTCTCCAAACCAAGTTTCAAGTGTTTTATCATATCAAAGAGAGCATAGAAAGTTACAATTTAAGGTAAATATTCCTCATTTTGCCACTCATTTCCTTGCATTGATGTTGAGTTTTGAGAAACACAACAAATAATAGAGTCGAATCTGCACATTCGTCTTTGAAGAAATGATTGGGTGATAGCAAGGGAGCTCTTTGTAGAGAATGGGACACGGTGAATCAAATGCTCCAAAACCAACATAATAAAATTCAATCTACTTTTGTTCGAAGCATAATCGTAGTAGAACACTGATTCAAAGACAACACTTTATACTCGCAGTTGGTTCTCAACATATCCGGGGCGGAATTGAATTTCATTTTTCATGAAGCGAAGCGAGCGGAGACGACGGGGCTGGATAGTTCAAAGTGTGGATGTATAATTAGGAAAACTTACGGACTTCCATGTGCTTGTCTCATTTATGCAGAACTAGTGAATGAATCAAAACTCTTGAAACCAAACCAACTTAACATAAATTTAACATAAATAGCCGAACGAATCCCTAAATCAATTTTTAAGGTGTTTCGGATATGCATATCTTAAAATTCCTTGTTTACACATTATAATTATTTAAATGTTGGATTTATGTTGGAACAAAGGATTTAAGAAAGATGATTTTGTGAAAACAAGAAGAAGAAGAAGAAGAAGAAGAAGAAGAAGAAGAGAGAGAGAGAGAGAGAGAGAGAGAGAGAGAGAGAGAGAGAGAGAGAGAGAGGAGAGAGAGAGAGAGAGAGAGAGAGAGAGAGAGAGAGAGAGAAGAGAGAGAGAGAGAGAGAGAGAGAGAGAGAGAGAGAGATAGAGAGAGAGATTGTGACTTAGTTAAGTGTAACTAACTATCTAACTGAATTATTAGTGTTGCTGCTTATTATCTACAAACATAATTGCTATATAGGCAAAGTGCTCAGGCCCATATACATGCTAAAAGCTCAAATAACTACATAACAAGAACTAACCAACTAACACACCCTTTTAATTTATGTTATCAAGACTTCTCATCCCAATGTCTTTCTTCAACTCTTTGAACCTCACTTTCTTCAGAGGTTTGGTGAATATGTCAGCTAATTGCACTTCTGTCTTGCAATAATTTATTTCGAGCTTCCCTTTGTTGACTTGATCCCTTAGAAAATAATACATTCTTTCAATGTGCTTACTTAGACCATGACACATTGGGTGATTCTCAGGGTTTATAACTGATTTGTTATCAACAAACAGCTTCATCTTTGATTCCATTATTCTGAGTTCTTCAAGTAGCATTTCGATCCACACTGCTTGGCATGCAACATATGATGCAGTCATATATTCTACTTCGCATGATGACAAATCCATAATGCTTTGTTTCCTCTAACTCCAGGAGATTGGAGATTCTTCGATCATGAAAATGTATCCTGCAATACTCTTGTTTTCGTCTTGATCTCCACTGAAATCAGAGTCAGTGTTTTCATGAACTTCGACATCTGAACTGTTCTTCGACTTCTTTGGTAACAGCACACCATGATCAATAGTTCCCTTTATGTATCTTAACACCCTCTTCACTGCGATGAGATGACATTCTTGAGGCTTCTCCATAAATCTGCTCAACAATCCTACACTTTGGCAGATATCTGGTCTAGTATTGCAAAGATACCTCAAGGATCCAATGATTTGTTTATAAAGGGTCAAACTTACAAACACATCATTTGATTCCTTTTTCAGCTTTGCTCCAGTCTCTAATGGAGTAACAGTTGACTTATATTTGCTCATATTGAACCTCTTTAGTATATCTTGAGCATACTTCGTTTGATGCAAGAAAACTCCTTCTCTGATGTCTTTGAATTCCATTCCCAAGAAATATGAGAGATTCCCTAAATCATACATTTCGAATTCCTACATTAACTTCGACTTTACCTTCATTATCTCAGCTTCGCCTGCTCCTGTAATGAGTAAGTCATCAATATAGAGACATAAAATGATTCGATTGACACTTTGACATCATTTACATATACTCCATGTTCAGAGACACACTTTGTGAAACCTACTTCAATTAGGAAGCTATCTATCCTTTTATTCCAAGCTCTAGGAGTTTGCTTCAAGCCATAGAGAGCCTTCCTTAATCTGTAAAATTTCGACTCTACCCTTTGACGTCGAAACCTGGTGGTTGAGTAACGTAGACTTCTTTTTCCAATGAACCATTCAAAAATGTTGACTTTACATCAAGTTGGTGCATTTTCCATCCTCTACACGCAGCTATCGAAACAACAATCTTGATTGTTTAGATCCTTGCAACAAGCGCATATACTTCATCGAAGTCAATACCAGGTGTGATACGGTGGGAGAACTGACTTGGAATTTTGCGTTTGTGTTTGCAAATGTTTCGGTTTAGCAAGAGTCTCCACCGACTTTTTATTTTATCCTAAGGAAAGGTCAAAAAGCACAGGAAAGACCTTTGAGATGTTTTCTTGGGTTCTGGGAGTAGATTATAGAAAGGGAAGGTATTAGCATCCTTTATATACATGGTTATCCATGGGCTCTTAGTTACTTGCTTTAGATCACTTGCTTTGCATTTCTATTGTTTGAAATGGTGCTTTTCAATTGTTTGAAATGGTGCTTTGTGTGTGATTTTGGAAAATGTTTTGAAAAGAGGCCATCGTTGTGGCAACCTTTGTAATGATTCTTGTTTGAATGTATACAAAGGTGTTTTTGTCTTTTGAAAAGTTTTCAATGTTGAAAGTAGGGTTTTGAAATTATGTTGTGGAGTGTGTTTTGAAAAGTAGCAAGGATGTTTTTGCAAGCTTGATCAAGTAGCTAAGAGCTATCTACCCTATTTTACTCAAAGATCTTTCTTATGTTTTTATTCCTTTTAACAGTGTTGTTTCACCATTGTATTTGGTGAACAACCTTGTGTTAGGATGTTAAACGGGACAGACGCGGGTCATCGTATAGACCATGATAGCAATAGTGTCAAGTATTTTTGGCAATTTTCTTGAGGGACTTGATCATTTTGTTTAGGCAACTCAAATAGCATCATCGAGGGACTATGATCTTTTGTTTTGTTTTTGTTTTGACAAAGTACTTGACATGCATACCACGGCCCATTTTTAAAGGGAACAAGTGGATTATAACCCTAGGGGTGCAAGTGTGCATTGTGCTTGTTTTTCATGCATATTTGTCTTTGATTAGGTTAAGCTATTTGTTAATTTGATTTTGGTATACAAACCCTAATTCTCTAAGCATGACATAATTGAAAGCATTAAATGCGTAAAAATAAATCTAAGTTATTACAACTTGGATATAGGGATGGGGGTACAAATTTGAATTGGAGATATTTGACAAGAAATATAAACCCTAGTTTTACTATTACATCCAAATTGAATCAAATGGTATAAATAACAAAATGAACCATATTTAAATAAACAAATTAAATAAATATACAAAGTATGAATATGCAACAAGGTTTTTATTTATTTTCCATGCATGTAAAAATGTTTAATGCAAAAAAGAAAGAAATGATAAAAGAATATATTTTTTGGTTAAGGGTAAAACCCTAATTTTCTTTAAGAAAATAAATATATTAATTATATAATTTATATACAATAAATAAAATAATGTATGTACAAAAAATTAAATATATTTAGAAAAAGTATTTTTAAGTATAAATATTAATAAAAATAAAAGTGTAATATTTTTATGTTTTTATTCTAAAGTATTTACAAAATAAAAGTATATATGTTTGTTATATGTATTTTAATCAAATTAAATATGTAC